GGGGGCGTCGCTGAACGCGGCACTGTGCCAATATCGTAGTGGTACCACGTCCGCCTTCGGATGACTTCCATTTCCTTGGTGGCGTTCGTAATGCTGAAAGTTACGGACCGGAACGCCGGTAATAACGCAACGTTACTCAACCTTTGTGCAGATTATGTAGTTGATCATGTTATGTTACCTCCACCTCGAGATGCTGATGAAGTTACGAGCTATTCACAGCAGTTCCCTTCAGATAAAGTCATTGGAGTGTGCCGGACACGAAAAGAAAGTAGTTCAGGTGTAGTGTATGTATGCCCTACGCAGTAATAGTTGAAACCTCGGTTCATGATCAGCCACCACCTTTGGCCATGTCTGCCCTGCTTCGAACATGCCGTGCTGCGATGAACGAAACGATACGCGTAATCTCCCCACATCATGTTTCCAATTTCAGAAACAGACGATCATTGAGGCGAAGAACGTGGAAACTTCTCATACCCCGCGGTTCATAATGTTTCGGCAGTCAACCTCAGAGGGTAGCTCTGCATACCAGCCACAACGCTTCTTGAACGCCATTCGTCCATCACACTGCGATCTTCCAGCTGAGTTTCAGCAAAAGAGCGCTCGCTCAACCTGTCAAACCTTGACAGGCATCTCGAAACTGTTCCCGCCGGAAGTTGACCATTCCATTCTTGCAGTCAGCCGCCGAACCTCGGAACGCAGTTCTGTTGTCGCTGCTATCGATTGGCATCCTCCATTACTTCTGCCCTTCATATGGGCTATTGCGAAGGACCAAGTGGCTGGTAGCTCGACCTATTGCATCAGAAGCTGGTCTTCGGTCGATAGATCGACCAAAATCGTAGAGGTACTCAAAGACCATGAACCGTCAGACCATAGAATTCCATGCGTTTTTCCCGTTGAAGGACTTACAGGTTTCAATACGAGTATTTCCCATTCGCGCATAGCTAAAACAAATAATACATTGCCGCGCCGAGCTCATGATCACCCAACGGTCTCGTTCAGGCAGTCCACGAGCACGCGGTTGGCGCTCTTGGAAGCCTGAATGCCCTTTTCAATCAGCTGCGTATAAACGTCCATATCGGACGCAGGTAGGTCACCCTTGAACCAGAGGTTGGTGACCTCTTGTCGTGTGGGAAGATATGCGATGCAGCACGCTGCAAGAACCTTCTCATGCTCAGAGGGAATCGGGTCAACAACTATGCTGGGAGCAGCGTCATTACCTGCGTCCTGTACCAACGCGGCAACACCTCCGGCAACAGTGTCGACGCAGTCAATACCAGCGTCAGCAAGTGCAGCCGAGGCAACGGTGATGCAGCCACTCAAGGCATTCATGGTGTCCCAAGCCTCAATGCCCTGGGCCTTGGAGGTCTCCCGATCTTGCTCTCCTTCAACGATGGAGATGATGATATCCACACCACTCTTTGGCCAACGGTCAGCAATGATGGATCCCCGAAGAGCCGTCTCAAGGTGAGTGCCGAGATCTCTCTCGATCGGGTCACGGATGTAACCACGCCTTTGCTTGGTCGCAAAGGGCGCAAACTTGACATGGGTGGACAAGATGATGTGAGGAGAAAAAGGTGTTGACCTGGGCAAAGCTCTAGGCCCATGAACGCTGCAACTGAGCTTCAAGCCAGAGCCGCCGTTTCCAGACGACTCAATCTCTAGGTAGGCAGAGCCAGAGGCCGACGGTGTCACTCCCGTCTTGAGATCTAAAGGTGAGGTTAGTCTGTGTCTGCGAAGCAGGAGGGTTTGTCCTCGACGTGCTTACACATTTTGCGAATTACGTTCGCCGGGCGTGACCTTGTAACCTTGACACCTTCGGATTGCTTCTCGGGTGCATCGTCATAGATGGGAGGGTTGGTGGTCCCAACTGGTCCGTTAATACGTCTTCTGTCGGCCATTTTGAAGCCAAGATACGAGGGCCGAAAATATGGTGGGCTTGGTGATTGCTGTGTTTATTTCGATGCCCTTCTCTGGTCGAAGAATCCTGAGATAGATGAAGAAAAAGGGACCTCGTCTGTGTATGGCTTTCCTTGTTTTACGTTGGTAACTTCTGTTGGTACCTCTGTTGACTGTTGAAAACAAGACGTGAGAGTCGCCGTCTACACTGCAGTGGGTCCACTCTCAAATTCAAGTAGTTGTGGCGCAACCTCACATTCACTGTCGATTTTGATCAGTCAGCCACATGCCCCACCCAGAATTCCATGTCAAAGCCACCAATGGAGGAATTTTTTGCGCAGCTACAAAACTCTGCCGACTTCAGTTCCAACCTCATCTTGAACTCTTCCACCAACCCACACCATTCGCAACGGCAGGAACGGCTTGCGATTGTCGGCATTGGATCAATGCCTTCACTTCATATGGCCACTGTCTTTGGGAAGCAGCCATGATACCATAGTCTTACCATGCTCATGGTCGCTTTGGTTGGGCAGCCTTCTGCGCTGGCGCAGCAATGGCATGGTCATGTTAGCTGTCCAGGCATGCTCTTGGTTATTCTGCGATGGCGAACCCCATTGCTTGAGAGCATGTCCTGGCTGTCTGATATGGCCGACGTTGGTTCGCACGGATAGAGTAAGTTTATTTCCCCTTGCCTTTTACATTTCATGATGATCCCATAACCACAGTTCTCGCGATAATCTCTGAGCGATCGAACAACATGCACTACCATCTGACTACTCCTTCAACACATTCTTCACTTGCAACTCATTTGGAGGAACCGTTGACTGACAATCAATAGTACAGACAAAGTTGTTATTGTCACCGTTGCTGTTCCACTCCGTTTTCTCAGTCTCTACCCACTAGGTAAGCATCACATTGTTTTCCTTTCTGTTTTCTTTCGCCCACCTGACATCATCACCCACCCGATTGTCCATGATGAAACAAAATATTTTCAGTTCTGCTTCTGAATAATAATGAGCGATAACCAATCATACCAAAACCTTCTGATATGGCAATTACCCCAACTTTTTCTTGCAACAACAGTCTTTACCACACATGCTGCGAGCAAGTTGGCTAATAAACTTAAAGTCGTATAGGATCTGAAAATGGTTTCGCGTCTAGTGGGAGAGTCGACATGTCCATCTGGTAGGTACTTGCCTGTTTTTTCTTTTGTCCCATGCACAATGATGACAACAGTCTATCCATTCAACGATATGTACGGGCCGAGCCATCCATCCGCACTGGAGCGTCTTTCGGGACGTGAGGACTAGTTGTGGTGTCTCCCTTCGGGGTGTCATTTGGCTTCCGTTGTCCGAGTCTCCTGCGCACCGTTTTGGGGCGTGGGGGGCTTGGGCCGGCTTTGTAGGGCTGAGTTAAAACGGCTTGTCTGATCTGTGTCGTCTTCGCCTTCTGCTCGATGCCGATTCGCGTATGACCATGAACTGACCGGTCAGTAGTTGATGGCGCGAACGTTTCGTACGTTTTGTTGCAACGCATCTTTGACGAGGTAAGATTTGTGTTCATGACTCGACAACTAATGACCCCAGTAAAATTGGATGTAGTTGAGGATCGACAGTGTGCCTGTCCTTGACATTTTACACTAGGGCTTCAAGATATCAGCAAGGATAGAACAATGAAAACAAGAGTTGCAAAATATTTGATTATTTCCAGTCAGACCTAAGATATTGCCCTTGATGATGTGCAGGAGAAGTCCGAACCCAGCTGAACGAAGGACCGGGCACTTGCCGCGACTTAAGCCCGGTTTCCTTTCAAATCGTCTGTGTCTCGAGGTTGAACATCAATAAATTGAAGACGCACCCTGATGTACCCATTTGTATTGCACAGAGATGATAACTAGAGGTAGATACGGCACAGACTCGACGGTACTTGCATTGCCACTGTTTCAGGTCGACTTTGCCGTCGGGCAGTTCTGGGGCCTTGTCCTTGGCGACTTTAAATCCTGTAAACTGCACTAGAACCCCTGAAACCAAGGCTTCAAGTCTGGGGTCATTTGTCGGTGGGTGCAAAATGCGGTACAATTGGCAGGACCCCGTCGAACGGCCGGGCCATTTTGCGACGCCATTGGTAAAGAAATCCATCCCAACCCGCCAATCTTATCTGGACTGGTACTTAGTACGTGTATCGATCCGTCAAGCTGCCCACAGCCCGGTGCGAACACCTCAGCTTTTTATCAAACGACTCGGTGCTACGGGAACGCGATCGTCTTGATCTCCCGCCCAAACTTCTCTCTGACCACGATGCATTGATCCCGAACCGGCCTGGTCCCTTCTCTATTCATTTCGACACAGTTTCGGCACCGCGTGCGTCGAGAACATCCAGCGAGAGACCGCCCAGTCTGCAGCATCTGTTAGCATTTCCGGTTCGCAGGACTCAGGTACCCTGCGTGTGCGCAAAGGGGGGTTGAGGTGCTCGATAATATTGGCCGCCCCTGCAGCGACCATCTATCACCAAACAGCCCAATGCTGCCGTACGCATCTTCCTCCGGGTCCAAGGCGGTCCCTCGACACCATGCGAGCGGATATTCCAATGGGTACCCGCGAGGAAACACATTCGAGATTTCTCCTCACAGGTAAAGTGCCTTGGCGTGTTGACAGCTCCCCCACCCCCTGAATCACCAGGCGAACGAAACGAACGTTGGAAGCTGACGGGAGCGGTCCGCTATCACTCCACAGGTTCCAACCTCGAGGCGCGGCACCACCATTTCGAAGACGGAAGGGGCTATTCGTGCGATTGGCAATAGCGCTGGTATCATTACTTCTCTTTGGGCTGTTCGTTTGGCCCGGCGATTCGGGGTCTTTCTCCTGGCTCGGCTCCGGTTCTGAAGATTTCCAACTCGAAACGGTGCGATACTACGACCTGTCTAACGTGCAGGGCACCGCGAAAGGATGGGAGAGAGAGGAGCGAATTTTGATCTGCGTGCCGCTGCGCGATGCCGAAGTGCATATGCCCATGTTCTTCGGTCACCTCCTCAACCTGACGTATCCTCACCATCTGATCGATCTCGCTTTCCTTGTTTCGGACTCGAAAGACAACACCTTGGCGGTTCTTGAACGCGAGCTTACGGCTATTCAAGCTAGCACCGACCCGTCCAAGCACTTTGGCGAAATCTCCATCATCGAGAAAGACTTTGGACAAAAGGTTAATCAGGATGTGGAAAGCCGCCACGGTTTCGCCGCGCAGGCGAGCAGAAGAAAGCTCATGGCCCAAGCTAGAAATTGGCTCCTTAGCGCTGCCCTTCGGCCGTATCATTCGTGGGTCTACTGGCGTGATGTCGACGTAGAGACTGCGCCTACCACGATCTTAGAGGATTTGATGCGCCACAACAAGGATGTGATTGTGCCAAGTAAGCCTCCTCAACCCTTAGCTGATATTGAAAGGAGAACTGGAAATGCTAACCGGACTTAGATGTTTGGCGTCCGCTACCTGACTGGCTGGGCGGAGAGCAGCCCTACGACCTTAACTCCTGGGCCGAGTCCGAAACCGCCCTCGCACTCGCGGATACTCTCGACGAAGATGCAGTTATCGTGGAGGGATACGCAGAATATGCTACCTGGCGTCCCCATCTCGCATATCTCCGGGACCCCTATGGCGATCCCGACATGGAAATGGAGATCGATGGCGTTGGTGGAGTGAGTATTCTGGCAAAGGCCAAGGTTTTCCGTTACGGCGTCCACTTCCCGGCGTTCAGCTTCGAAAAACATGCCGAGACAGAAGCTTTTGGAAAGGTAAGCTCATCAGGCCTTCCCGCGGCTTTGGATCCGCCTAACCACTATGATAACAGATGTCGAGAAGGATGGGCTTCTCAGTTGTTGGCCTTCCTCATTATACTATCTGGCATTTGTACGAGCCTAGTGTAGACGATATCAAGCACATGGAGGTAAGCAATCACGCATCTGGTTATGCAAGTTTGACAGGTCGCTAACAGTGGGCAGCAAATGGAGCAGGAGAGACTCGCTCGCGAGAAGGAGGAAAAGGAGAAAGCGATGAAGGAGCAGAAGATGAAGGAGTCTTTTGGCGACGCCACTGGCCAATGGGAGAAGGACAAGAACGAAATACAGAACCTCGCCATGCAGGAGAACAAGAAGGCGGAAGAGCAACCAGCAGCAGGACAACAAGGCGGACCGGCTGATGGACCAGCCAATGCTGCTCCCAAGGAGGAGAAGAAGGAGGACACTCAGTGAGCTGTGCTCGAGTGTCCACTCGGTTTTTTTTCTATGTTTTTTTCTATCTTTTTAATATTGCCTCTTTCGTTATATTTATGCATCCTCATCTCTGGTCTAACGCTGTGTTTCGCCAAGTGGACGCATACCAAAACAAAATGGGTGGAAGGCATTTGCAAAGCCGCCCACATATGCATCTACCTATTGTGTACAATGGGCAGTTGGAGAGGGAGGGTTAGATATCAGGGATATGTAATTGGCGACGGTTCACACCGTATTCACCTCATGTCAGGAACGGACCGGAAAGACAAAATCTTTTTGGAGGGAAATCTAAGATCATGTATAATAGAAGCGTCTCGCGGCCAACGAGTTCAAAAAAAATTATAGCAGAGGCGTTCCGGGAAATGTCTTTTTTGCTTTGCAATCTGCTATAGCGACCACAAATGGGTTGAGTTTCCAATACTGACGCCTCTCTGGTCGCTTCGTTCTGTTGTCTGAGCGTAGAGGTAGCGGCCGGACGTTTCTCGAATGGCTACCCGGTGGTAGTTGCTATTTGGCTTCAGGCCTAGGCCGTGAATGGAGACACGCTGCCTGGTGCCTTTGACATCAGACTGCGTCTCGGGTGGTACCTCGATCTCCAAATGTGCTCCCCCTAAAGTTTGCATAGGTAGGCACATGCATACAAGTCTGTGATTAACGATATCTGTTCTTGAAGGGAAAAAAAAGAGAAGAAAAAAAAGACAGGGGCAAGACTCAAAACCCTCCGTGTTGTCATAAGAGCACTGCCGTTGTCGAGGTACATCCCTTCTCTACACTACAGTAGTCTAGTGTACACAGAGGTAGGTAACTTGGCGTAGTATTAGTTGTCAGCCGCGGCGGCCACTGATAGGTGTACACAGTACTGGATCTCCAAAGGACATTTGTTACTACCTGCGCTAGAGGTACCTTAGTTCTTGGCCACCGTCCACCTGTCACACCCAGGAAACCCCCCCTTCCCACTCTGGCTGTTAACTTGACCACGACATTCTAAATAGTGTACAACTCCGAATACTTGCAAACACTCGACGCTGTCACTCTCTTTGAAGGCTCACCGAGGACGACGGCCGCCCGAACCTCCACGACCCCTCCAAATAGTACGCCAAAAGAAAGACCGGCAGTCGCAGCATGAGTCGAGATGCGGGTGACCACCCAGCTGCCCTCGCGGACTCGGCTGTCTTAGCAGCAGCACAAGCACCCGGCACGCCGATCTCCGTCTCCCGCAAAGGCCCGATGTTCTCGTCGTCGCGCATGCAATACCGCAGCCGCCCTGTCTCCGTGGCAGTCGATCCGGTCTCCCTCGTCATATCCGAGTGTATTGCGATCACGTCCGCTATTCAGAAACATGCCCGCTCGCCGCATTCGTCCGTGTCAGCCATCTTGGGGGGCAGCCCGAACCTGATCCAGCTTGTTCCCCCTTCAGGCCCGGCTCTGCGTCGCGATCAGAAAAAGTTGGCTGGGTCCTCGGCCGCTGATGACTCCAGTGACTTGGCTACGAACCGATGGGGCTTAAGGGGGAAGAAAGGGAAGAGCATATTGGATAATCCGCTGATATCAGGCTTCGGAAGGCTTCGACAGGAGTTGACGGGCGTCAAAGGTAGCTATACAGACGACGCTGTTGCTCGCGTCATGTCAATGGAAACGCA